GGGGGGGGGGGGCGGTTCGGGTCATGCCCCCCTTCCTGCTAGCACACACACACGCACATACTCCAGGCCTGGGCGTGACTCTCTGGTCTCCTGGCTGTTTGGACGCTCACCCTCCGGGGCCGAGGGTGCTCTGGGCCCGGAGCGCGCCTTTTCTGGGAACCCGGGACCGCGGAGTCGCGCCGCTGAGCGGAGCGCGCACGCCGAACTCCCCTCTCCCTAGGGTCAGGCGGTTCTGGGTCCCCCCAGCCACCGGCCTTCCTCGGCGCCAAACTCCCCCTGCAGCCTCGGGAGGCTCCCTGCCGCGCGAGGGTCTCGGTCTCCGGCCTCGGTCAGGCGACCGCGCCGCTCCCGAGGCCCTTCGCTCGGGGGTTGGTGACTTTGAGATTTCCCTTCCTCGCGGCTGCGGGGCCGTTCCCCCGGTTGCACGCAAAGCAGCCCGGGCGACCTCACGCAGCGGGGCGCTGCCAGGCCCCCGCCTGGGAAGACTAGTGGAGACTCCGGCTCAGGCGCCGCTCCCCAGAGGAGGGCAGCCTCCAGCGCTTCCGACGCTCGTGCCCGGACTCCCCGGCTCCGGAAACAGCGCTGGCGCCGCAGGAGGACCCTGGCCGGCGGTGTCCGGGGACGCCGCAGCGCTGCTCCGACTCTGGTCCGGCTAAGAGAGGCTGGGCTGGGCCTGGCTGGGCCTGGATCCTCGAGAACCCCGGCCTTACCCAGGCTCTCAGACGGGCACCACCCCTCCTGCGAAGTGCGAGGGGGGGACGTTCGAGGAGATAGCGCGGCCCGAATCGCCACCAACTGGTGCCCCCGGCTTGGGACGTGAAAGCCAGGCCCTTGCTCACCCCTCACCAGCACCAGCCACCCGCCTCTGGCCACTCCGCTCCACAAGCTTCGCCCTCCTTCCCCTCGCGTCTTCAAACTGGGGGTCCTGGGGGCCACCGCGCCTCGCCCGCTCCTACCCGCTTGGGCGCCGATGGACCTAGAAATTACCCAGCCCTACAATTTCAGGTCTGGGACCAACAGGGAGACCAGCTGGGGCACGTCTGTGCCTTTGTGCCCACTCTTGGTATTTTATTAACAAAAATCAAAACCAAAACGCCTTGAAATTTTAACGAGACCTCCTTCTCGCAGGAACTGCTCAGAGGCAGCAAAATTCCAGAGCTGGGGACCCGGGGGCTGGGAGGAGCACGCGTCCCCCGACGGGTTGGACGGAGCTGTCACCCTGGGCGCGGGGTTCGAGAAGAGAGGGTGCCAATTTGCGCTGAGCGTCCTGGCCGAGGTGCGAGCCCCCTCCGGGAACAAACGTCCCTCCGGGCCGCGCGCCCCGAGCTCCCTCCGGCTTTCTGCTGAACCGCCGCGGGATCCCCCGCGCACC